CAAAGATCCCGACGTAGAAGCTCCATTTACCGCATGAAACTCCTTTTGCTGCTGCTTCGATCGCTGCTGCTGTTGCTGTTGCTGCTGTTGATGGTGCTGTTGATGTTGTTGTTGTTGTTTTGTCTGTGTATTCCTGGAAAGAGAGCACAGTTATTCAAAAACACTGTCCATGTATCATCAAGTTCTATCGATTCACAGGATGTGTAAATACATAGGCACGTATGTTTGCTCATTATCAGCAAAATCGTCAGACTACGAAGTTTTGATGCTATTTCAGTAAATCCAGATCCTGAACGCAGCGAAAATAATAAATCTCTCTCCATTCGTGGATTTAAATATCTACACTAACCCCTTCACCCCCACCCCGCATGTCCCCTTCTGGCCCTCCCGCCATCTCCATCGCATAGACGGAGAATCTTTCCAAATGGTTGCTTTCATCCTCGTAGGTATTACCCATTAATACGTTAAGAACGTAAATTTCAGACTTTTCTTATTGCTTCAAAAGTGATAGCGTTACCACCCACTAATATGCAAAGTGTTACCGGCCGCCTGTCTGCTCGTAATCATATCGTCGTCGTACGTCATTCTGAGCAAGCTGATGAGATTCAACGGGCGTTCGACTTCGTAATCCACCTAAAAATAGTATCGTACAATGGATCAGATCGTGGCAGTCAGGTTAGACTTGGGTGTTTAAGTGGTAAAAACTAGAAACTACTTGATGATAAGAACTGCTGCTGTATCAAGTGCGCAGCAACTGTCGTGAAATGCTGAAGGAAAAAAATGGCAAGTTTGTTGGCTAGATCGCTGAAGAATCGCTGGTGAACTGGTAGCTGCTCCAAGTGAAACATGAATTTTAACCGAATATATGCTTCATTTAAACACGGATCTTATAAAATTATGATTATGAGTCCCACAGGCTTGTAGATTTCTGGGACTATAGGTTTCTTTTTTCAAAAATTGGTTTCTGGGAGCACAAGTTTTTCTGGCACCATAAGATTTTCCCTCCCTCTCCTCTCCCTCACTCACTCTCCATCCTCCCTTCCCCGCTCCAAACAACCCGTGTACAGTCCACTTTTTCTGAGCTTTTTTACTCAGTTAGCATCCATCACTTATAGATTCCCATATTTTTTTTCCTTGAGCTATTTGAATGGTACTTTTTTCCGGCGTAATATGACGATATCCATCAGCTGCAGCAAAACGAAAAGCCATACCTTAACTTTAGTTGCCCCAAAAATTACCACTGACACCATTATATGTACGTCTATAATCACTGATCCCACAACAAGATGATCAAAATTATTCAGACAATCAATGTGGATATTCCATGTTAGTGAAGTTACCAAAATACTAGGCATATCTATGCCAAACCTTTCGATCCTGGGGCGTATACTCCCAGTTAGTGCCTGTCACCACCCCATTCGATGGATGTGTGTGCACCACCTCTTCATGCATCACCCAAACATTTACGAATAAACTTAGAAGACACCACAGTACCATAATTATAATGATTGGGACGATTTTGCCGGCCTCGTGGACGATTAAATGTGCTGGTAGTGGTGGGATCGTTGTTTCGGTCCCGATAACCATCTCGATGAGCATCGCCCTGATTGCCCGGAGGTCGCCGTGCACCACCGCCGTGTTGCTGCTGATAGCTAGTACTGCTCATGCTGAATTCACGATGGCCACCACCGTACGGTCGTTGATGATTATACATAAAACCTCCTCGACCACGATTACTGGAACCTACAATCAGCATTCCAGTGGTACCAACAAATAATAAGCGAAGATATAGCGAAGTAATGTGCTGTAAAGTTGAGAGTCAAGGGTCGACTTCGCCAGTGGGACAGTCAATCCTTCTACAATTCGTTCATTCGTTTCGATGGTAAATTGGTACTGACGCATACCGGAATGCCAAAGCTTGCTTAAAAGTGATCATAATGCCATTGACAGCTTGCAAACAAGCAGTTGTTGTTGGTATTTGCTGCCGTTCAGGCGTTCTCTCGAGCGCTTCTGCCTTATAGAAATACGGAGGGGATTTTGACCTTTCTATGGGAAGAAAGCGAGGTTTTAGGCGCAAATCTTAATTGTTTGTGGAGATCACCAAGCTATCAGTCCGCGGAGTCATCAGTATTACTGATTTCTAAAACATCTGTCTGAACAAGCTTCTGTTAAAAATTTTAAAACAACTATAGGAAGGAAGCAAGGGATTTTTCTGTAACAACACAGAAAAACGTCCATCACTCCAAATGCCTCAGTTGAGGATTTGAACTGAAATAGGACAGGCAATCTATAGTGTACAGTACCAAAAACAAAACTGAAATTTTTGCCAAAATCAATCAAAGTAACGGGCCCGAAACTGTAATAAAATTAACAGTTTACGTAGGACAAACAAGAGTAAATTTAAAAAATGTAGCAAAAAAATATACCTCGAAAATGAGGTGCAGAAAGCTGTTGCGTTGCTGAGGGAGCGGAATTACGCAATCGTTGTTGACCAAAAGTTCGATTGGGGGCCATATTGACGGCTGCCGATGATATATGAACAACCGTTGCACCACCTGGCTTGAAAGTAGCCTGCGGCACATACCCGTAACTGGCCAAAATTTGGCCCAAATCAAAACTATCTAAAATTTTCGATAACGGTTATGGGGACACCCCGGTCGAATTTTGTTATTTCATGAGTGTAGGATAGCAGAAATAAAATGGACATAAACTGCGACTTGACTAATCCTTGGATAACACTTATAACTCTGCGTTAATTCAATTAACAACTGGACACTAAATGCTAAGAATACTAAGACAGCTCGGGCTAACAATGCAGGCATTCAGATGTTAACGATGTTATTGGGATGCCGC